TGTGTGTGTGTGTGTGTGTGTGTGTGTGTGTGTGTGTGTGTGTGTGTGTGTGTGTCTGTGTGTCTGGTGTGTGCGTGTCTGTCTGTCTGTCTCTCTCTCTCTCTCTCTCTCTCTCTCTCTCTCTCACCAGCAGCCCGTCGGTGACGAGCCCGTCACGTGTGAACAAAGGAGGGAACGCTCGGATTACGATGATGACTTCACCTTTTATTGTATCCGTCCGATGAGTCATAAATGTACATTACATATACAACAGTCCTCGTAGAAACGTGGAAAAATACGCGCACACAGTCAGTGTGTGCGTGTGTGTGTGTGTGTGTGTAGTACGCGAGTACTGTCTCAGCATCTCAGCCTCCGTAGATGTGCAGCAGCGGCGTATCTCGGCCACCGTAGCTATCTCCGCGACGGCTATTAAAAGATCTTACTTTGATAAGGTGGAAGAGAAGGGATGGGTGAGAGGGGGGAGGAGGGGGAGGACGGGTGCGATTGAAACGATCCGAAATTAGACACCTTCAGTTAGCATGTTTAAAAAGTTAGAATCGTAGAGGGGCACTCCTCAACAAGAGAACGCGTCAAATGCAGGCGCATTACATATCATATATATATGTATATAAATAAATAAATAAATAAATAAATATATATATATATATGTATGCATTCATTAGCAGCATTACCGTTGCCATACGTGATGACCGACGTGGCGATGATACAGTGGTGTAAAAAAGGCCGGGCATACATTTATAGATTGGCCTCGCCACGTCACGATGGCTCCCTGCCAGAGGGTTCTGCGCCTAGCATCGAAATATCATCCGTAATCGGATATAAACTCTATACACACACAAACCTGTTAGAAAAATCGTTCGTGTACGCACGCACCGCCGCCCGTACGCTACCACGACAGTACGTGAGTATAGTAGAGTCGATCGTGACGTGCCTATACACGACTGTGCGACTGACTGCGTATCTATACACGGGGAGGGAAGGTGAGGGTTGGGAAGCCATCATATACGTGTGACGGCTGTTCACCGCCACTGCACATGAACGTGGCAACAGCGTTCACGCTTGTTCTGCCACGGGGCTTGAGACAACTACGGACTGTTAAGGCAGCATACCGTTGGTCCACTAGCATATTATATATATACATACATACATACACGTACGTATATACACACAGGCATATATATATATATATAAGTATATATGTTAGAATTGATTGCCGTAACTGTATTTCGTTTTGTCGGCAGCGCGTATAGCAGTATATTACACACAAAAATGAGGTACAGTGTCAAACGACGATAAAAATTGCCCCGTTTGGTATGGTTAACAACTAAGACCGAACACACCGCGCGGTCCGTACAACAGGTTTGACACATAGTAAGGAAATAATTGTTCGGTGTGACACGTCTGCTGATGGACATCTGCTATGAAATTCATTTGTCCTTCCGATACAAGCTAGGCGAGGACAGAACAGTCACCAGCATCTGTCAGAAAGAGTACACTTCAAACCACGACATTTATTCGCCCTTGTCGTGCCTCAAAAGTAACAAGATTTGTACTCTTTTACTCCTGACGGTGCACGCGAACACCTTGTTTAAAAAAGTAACAAGATTGAACTCTTTTACTCGTGACGGTGCACACGAAGCCCTTGTCTCAAACGTAACAAGATTTTTTACGTTTTTTACACCTGACTGTGCACGCGAACGCCTTGGCTCAAAAGTAACAAGGATTTTACCCTTTTGCACCTGACGGTGCACGCGAAGGCCTTGTCTAAAAAGTAACAAGATGTTTACTCTTTTACACCCGACAATGCACGCAAACGCGATCTGACGAATTACATATTGCGTCTCTTAACTCTTTGCTACACCCAGCGTAGCTTCGAAGGTGTATAAAAACGAGAATTAAACGCAAGATGAACAGACGAACCACACAAAACAGACTATGATGGGAAGGGTGTCCCGCATGCGCGTGCATGGGGGGCACAGGTACGAAATGTTGGCCCCAAGAATTGGTGAACTGTCACCTGTAACCTCTTCACGATCTCAAGTGTGCAAAAAATGGCAGTGCCACGTCATGGGCATTACCTCGTCATCGGCATATATATATATATAACAACGGTATATTTATACAGGAGTATCACCAACACACTACAGCGTTATACAAGTTCAATATGTACACTATATCAATGTGACTCGACGTCGATTCCTACATAGCCATCATCGGCATCTCGTCATCGTAACACGGGAGTTGCTGCTCCACTGACTATATCATACACACGCACGCACACACGCACGCACACACGCACGCACACACGCACGCACGCACGCACGCACGCACGCACGCACGCGCGTACGCACACACGCACGTACGCACACACGCACGCACGTAGGCGCGCACGCATGCTTGAACGCACAAACGCACACACACACACACACACAGACATATACATAAGAGCCACACGTCAAGAGCTAAGGACACTTTGTGCAAGATTACAACACGGACTTAATTCTGAGCAACGCAATTGAAACGACAAGGTGGCGACGACAAATATGTCACCTGATTATATAATTGGCCGCAATCCTGCAGCGCAAATGTACAAATTACGACAGCGTCCTATCTCCCATGATCATAATTATAATGGGCAAGTTGACGTGATAACCATTTATGATAACCGATGGTAGGTAAACACAATAAAACCACCGCTGTCAAAATGGTTCAAATTCTCGATTATGTGCGCACGATATATTCACACATAATCTATGACCTCACCAAATTGGATGATGTGATGATCCAATGAAATCAAATCCATAATAAACTTGACGATAACATCAACTGTCCAAGATCGTCATGATCACGAAAGCTACAGGATCATCTGCGCAGAAAAAACCTTGTCCGCCAATAAAACACCCGATCATTTTACTCACAAACACGCGCAAAAAAACCTGTCATCGATCGATCCCGTATCGTATTAAGATATAAACGAATCGAATACAAAAATACAAGGGATCTCTCCTAGAATATATATATATATATATATGACTAGCACGATATAAATAATAGGTACTACGCACGTACATCCTCACTACACATAACAACACAGAAATCATCATAAACCACACCACCAAAGTACACGGCGACGGTCACGCGAACAGAGCAGAATTAAAGACGGGGAGATATCGATCAAGTCAAAAATCGATCCGATAGCGGTGAATAAAATCAGCCACAAGAAGGAATTAATTGGAATGTCAATCACAGTTTTTCTTACACGACAAGCGGACCACGGAATTGTCAACTATGAACGCACGCCGTACGTTTCGTGCATGCTCGTCAAATCTGTACAACAGAGCGCTGTTTTTAAATGCAATCGAATGTGATCTTTGCGCCTTTGTATACGTCAGCCAACCGTGACAACACGACTGGCGGTAGTTTAGCCCTCCCCTCCCCCCATGGCGTCCAAACGTCAAGCACCCAATTAGGCATACTCGCGTAACCTACTTTACTGAAAGCTCCATCACGAACGAAAACAAACAAAACCATCTAAACACAAAGCGTACACACGACTGTCGTGACAGCCACGGCTAAATTATCATAACATTACCGAATTAATCTACGAATTAAATTACACGTCTACCAAATTATTCATAATATACTAATTACGCTGTCCCACACACACATTTTTTTAAATAAATTAAGGTAAACTAACTCAGAGGCTATACTGGTTAGCCAATACGGGTCACTACGTAAACCATAGTGCCGGGGTAATACTACTTTGGCCCATTGCAGAATGAAATGCGAAATAAAGTACAAGGAGGGTCCATACAGTCACCTGCAACCAACATAGGGGTGGAAAACTGCTGACTAGCGTAACAACACCAGTTTCTTCTACATGTGGACATCTGACAGAGCTCTCTCGCTCTCGATGTTCCAGCATCCCCCATCAGCATCCGCGCGGCTACCTCCCGCTAGCTTTAGTTTCCTTTTGGCTTCTGCATCGGAACTCTCCGTCTCCCGTGTCGCCGCAAAATCCCACCGAACGATGCATCGAATGTTACGGCGCGAACATCACCGCAACCCGGGGTAGCGGCGCATGTACACGCGTGCCTGCGCAGCGAGGAAACCTCTTCTCTACTGCCGCAGTTGCGTCACAGTCAAATACGACACGAGAGGAATCCACACGAACTCCTTCCTCTTCTCTCTCTCTCTCTCCCTCTCTCTTTCACACACACACATCCTCACGAAAAGGCTTCTTTCCTTCTCCTGAGTAGATGCCGAACTCAGTTCTAGTTCTGATTGCGAAGAGGCGCGAACACCTACAGTAGCCGCATCGTTCTGACATCGCTCGTTTGAGAACCATTTCATTTTGAGAAAGACGTTTTTGACGAGGGCCCGATTTGAATTTGCCTTTTTTGAATTGCTTGTTCTCGAATTTGCATTATTTTGGAAATACTCGTTTCTGAATTTGCTTTCTTCAATAGCTCAAGGCACTACCGCATCCTCCCTCGGGCGCACAACTCGGGGGGACCTCCAATTTTTTTTAGTTAATGCAGAACGAGCTCACACACACACACACACACACACACACACACACACACACACACACACACACACACACACACACACACACACCTGCCATGCGAATCTCTTCGCGCGACTACTCGCAACGGACACACACACGGAGAAACGCCGGCGCTTCGGCAGGTCGCGGCTGACCAATGAAAAATCTTTTCTCATACGCTCGTCTCGATGCCGATCAGACGCGGTTGAGAGGGCGCCAGCTGCTGCGACGGAATGTAGTTGAGCGACTTCTCGTATTCGACGAGTTGGCCCATGAAGTTGAGGTTGGGCGAGATGATCGGTCGCTTGTTCTTGACAAACTTGTACGCGTCGATCATGCTTAGCTTCAGGTGCTGCATCACGTAGGCGATGGTGACAGTCGCCGAGCGCGACACTCCGGCGTGACAGTGCACGAGCACGTTGCACTGCCTCTGACGAGCTTCGTCTGTTGAAAAAAAGAAGAAGAAAAATGTCAACATCAGGTGACGTCCAACGTGACGTATGTTGAGAAAGAAAAAAGAAAACGGATGTCAACATCAGATGACGTTCAACGTGACGTATGTCGAGAAAGAAAAATAGAAAATTGTCAACATCAGATGATGTCCGACGTGACGTATGTCGAGAAAGAAGCAACAAAACAAATGTCAACATCAGATGACGTTCAATGTGTGTCGAAAAAGAGAAAAAAAACGCATGTCAACGTCAGACGCCGATCAATACGACGAGATTTGTTGGTTTGCACGCGACATTATTATATGTACTATATTGTCTATATACCATGTATTATATGTATTATATCATATATATATGTACTATAATATACTATGTATTACATGTATTATATTTATGTATTACATGTATTATATGTACTATAATATACTATGTATTACATGTATTATATGTACTATAATATACTATGTATTACATGTATTATATGTACATACATTATGTACTGCGTGAGATAAACAAAACAGCACGAGTTTCGCCTTATCAGAGTGTAGTCATACAACAGTAGTCAATCTTAAACGGAATTTTCCATCTTTATTCGTTAAATAAGCATTTGCTTGTGCTACATGATAATTTGATGCAGATTCACAGTATATACAGCGAGAATTAACACGAAGCTCGAAATCACGTTAGACTCAAGATGGCCGCATATGTTTTATGACACGTTGTTTTATAGAGGCGCTTCGTGACACATCTCCCATAACAAGAGTACATGTACATGTTTTATGAACGAACCGCGCCAATAACATATGCTTTCCTGCAGTACCTATATCATATTATCAAAAACGGGATCACCAAAATCTACAAATATTGGCATTCTTAGGCTGTAGATGTCGTGTCGATTGTTTTACATAATAATTAGTTTAATTTTATAGTTAATAGAGGCGAACGTCAGTTGATAAGATAGGCAGTTAATTGGGTAAGGTAGGTTGGAGGTTGGTTGACAGGTTGATTGTGAATGAATGTTCATTCATCTTTCGGTGCTACGTAAAGACAGCGGAATATAAAGAGGTTCATAGGTTCACCCTATAGGTTCCCCATCCTCGTGAACGCACCGAGCAAATGCATTCCCACCAGGTAACCCCTGTACTGCAGGAGGTGCCATTACCATAGAAATATACAGCGACACCTAGTATATTAGAGACACCTAGTCCACCTAGTATCGTATTTCTATCGTCATTACCAATAGAAATATATAGAGACACCTATAGTATATTATTTCTACGGTGATCACCCGCGATGTCCTGTGTTTGCTACGCGTGCGGTGCGCGCCGTGGTGAGTATTTGTAAGGATGAACGCGGCCGCCTGCTGGCATACTTGTTGCATGAGATCATACACGAACATGCATTTTGACAAAGGACAAAAGATAATTAGTGCGAATCGTCGTACTGCACGCGAGCCTTCTATATGAATAGCAGAAGCATTAGCAGCAGAAGCAGCAGCAACAGCAGCAGCAGCAGCATCATCATCATCATCAGCAGCAGTAGCATTATCATCATCATCATCATCATCAGCAGCAGCAGCAGTAGCATCATCATCATCATCCTCATCATCATCATCATCAGCAGCAGCAGCAACAGCAGCAGCAGCATGCTCTCTATCACGTGTGACGTGCATGAGCTCAAAACGCGATGGATTTTTTTCCTAAAGCATCTACTGGCCGTCTGTTATATGCAATGCACACCGACTATATAGGCAATTGTCGTCACTTTCGAGCACAATTCGCAACATTTCGCCACGATGTAGTTCTTTGTCGTTTGACAAAGCCAATGACTTCACGCAATATCTAAACATTTACAATACGTAGTATTTACAAGATCGCGCACAAAGGTAACACTAACAACACCAGGTCAAAGTCATTATCACGTTTCTCTCTCTTCAGTTTACGCAAAGATTTTTAACGACAAAAATCGTAAAACATTTAAAAATTTCAAATTGGACATCACGAGGACATAAAAAACAGCCGGCGAATCTCCTTCGATAAAACTTTTTATCGAAGCGTTTTATAACATCGCATCCTTTTATGAAGCAGAATATCGCGTCAATTATCCAGGTGACTATCCCCCCCCTAGCCACAAAACCAACTACCCACCCAACCAACCACCCAACCACACACCCACCCATCGCACTCCTGCTTCTCTAATCCCGCGCGCACAAGCCCGGAAGTCAACGATAAAATGCATCACTCTCATCGCACGCTGAGGCTTGTAGCGTGCGAGATCAAAACGCCTCACGCTCGTAGCAGTGAGTATACGCGCCGCCGGAGCGCCGCGTCGGCACAGACGTGCCGTAAAACGCTCGCTCGTAAACGTAATAGATGCCCGCAAGACGCGATCTAACTCAGACAACAGACGCCAAACCGCTTCCCTCCGTGCATGGCTGCTGCTGCTGCTGATGGTAGTAGCGGTAGCAGCAGTAGTAGTAGTAGCAGCAGCAGCAGCAGCAGCAGCAGCAGCAGCAGCAGTAACATCAGTAGCAGCAGCGACAGTATCAGCAACGGCGGGAGCAGCAGCAGCAGCAGCAGCAGCGGCATCAGCATCAGCAGCACCAGCAGCAGCCGCGGCGCTAGCTCTCAGCTTCTAATTTCGCTAAGTGCTCTAAGAGCGATCTGCGCAAACTTTACTACGCAGTTTGCCGATCATCGGTCGCCGCCACGACGCTTGAAGATCGTCATTTCTGAGCGGCCCGACGAGAAATACGAGCGTCTGTATAGCGTAAAACGACAGCCAGTCATAACTGCCATCATGGCTTATACTACTAGCGCCTGAATTACCGCCGGATCCCGCTGATAGATTACTACCAGTATACACCTCGAGCCGCCGCACGAGTGCTCCCGGTCACCGGTCTGATCGCCTGATTAAGGTACTGGCAGGCGGTGATCGATCGAGATTTGTGGCAGCACCGATCGTCGGCACGCTGGCTTTTCATGGCGAAGAGAAATCCGCTCAATGTCGCGCTATATCGATGTGTGAGGCGTGACTGGCAGGTTTGTGAGAGCCGACCTGCTGCTTTCATCCCCAGCTGTGATACAACCTCTGCCGAATAATCACTATATAACTCACGAATATAATTGCATATAATTATAGCGCATATTATATATATATATATATTCAAAAAGGAGCTTTTTTTTAAACATAATAGAGATTTCTATTATGTACTTTTAATATATATATATTATATATTATATATATCATATATATATATATATATATGTATCTATATATATATATATATATATCAAGAGTCCATAATAGAAAATCTATTAAGGACCATTGATATGTATACTATATGTGTTATATTTATATGTAATTATATTTGTGGTTATATATAGTGATTATTCGTATATATAGGTACATATAGTTTATGTGAATGATACAGGGGCCCGTTGTCAGAAACAAAATTGATCTTAACATTAGTCTTAACATTAACTTTTTCTCTTAGACCGTTGACAGAAATGCTGCGAAGTTACGAGAATGAAAAATCGTAGCAGATTTCCTCATAACAATACGAAACAAAGTGATGTCGACGGTCTAGGAGAAATTGTTAATGTTAAGACTAATGTTAAGACTAATTTTGTTTCTGACAACGGGTCCCTGGGCAATACGTGCGCAATATAACTACCCATTACGATCACACAACGACAAGCTATAATTAAATCATATAGTTTAGTTTATTTAGTCAATTCTAACGAATTTAGTCATTCTAACGAATTTAGTCATTCTAACGAATTAGCCCCGTAGTGCCGAATAGATAGTAGATCTCACCAGGAAACTATTTACGGCTAGGAAAGTGATGCGAAGCTACAATTACTACTGTGTTCACTGTGAACGCGCATACTGCGTGCGCGTGCATGCATGAATTCATAAGGATGAGAAAGCTATGACGACTATACACACACCGTCCTGGAAACACACGTGAACGAGCGGTAGACGCGAACTGCTTATAAGTTATAACACAACGGATATAGGTAAAAACCAGGAACGTGCATGGAACTGGGAAGATGTGCCAACGAAAATGCGAAGTATGCAGTGAGCTAGGGTGGCGCAAAACCGCACGCAGCACGATGCAACATACCACATAGCCGAGCTACCACGCCGGTACATATACACACATAACCACAGCGACAAGATTTACCTTGCTATCCTACAAGCACGTGATCATCACCTCCCCCCCCAACAAATTCTCTACGTTTCTACGTTTCGTTATTTTTAGCGCGTGATCATAACCCTTTCCCCCCTTAGTTCTCTAGGGTTATTCTTGCTTTACATCTCACGTTATTTTAAACAAATGTTAGTGTAAACGTGTCCAGGTTATAGCCTGATCGCAATATGGGAACATAGAGCTAACTGGATGTATTCATACAGCGTTTGCAACACCCTCAAATGCAGTTCTTTCCCCAAAACTGCCAATATTGGATGAGCGCTTTATGACATATAACCTAAATGTACTAATATCACCTACGGTGTGCTACAGCTACAGTGGCCAGGTCGAGTGTAGTGTAGTGACCCGAGAAGAAGAAAAAGAAGAAGAAGAAGAAGAAGAAGAAGAAGAAGAAGAAGAAAAAGAAGAAGAACGCCATAAAATACCGTTCTTTCCTAAAAACCGCCAATATAAGATGAGCGCTTTGTGACATTGCAAGCGCTTCAAATGCGTTTTATTCTTTTAAGCAAACAGCCTGTCCCGTTCACCTCCCGTCTCTCATATCACGATCAATAAACACACGCGTACGGCGTATACGGGTGCTAACGATATCATATATCATCATTGCTTCCACGAATGTTGACTTGACGTCACAATCGCTGCAGCGTGTGAAAGCCACAATTAAAAAAAATATTTGTTTGCCCTCACCCGACCCAGACTGAAAAGTTTGGGTAGGTAGGTAGACCTTTTTTTTGAAGGGGTCTTTTTACACATTCAGCATGGTGTCTACATGCTCGGGTGTCCTTGTGTGGACATACCCTTTATGTTGAACGTTTTGCTTGGTACATATAATGTATTGCCTACAGATTTATATAATGTACACTGATACAATTTGTAAAATAAAAATCAATAAAATTGTTTGAGTAGGCCCCTTTTTGGCGGGTCGGTCGGGTGAGGGCAAACAAACAATATTTTTATTATGGCGTCATCGACAGACAATATTGGCAAATTAAAACAACGATAATTTTTCATATCGCTTCAGTTCAGCGCGTGGTGTCCCGTGTTAGGTGTAAGCATAACATGTTCACAGAATTATGAAAGGCTTTAGCATTTAGCAGATTAGTGGTCATAATAAGCTGAGGAACGTATAAACTTGCTTCTTTATTGGTGGCAAATTTTGACGAGAAAAATCGGTTAAAAATGCGGGAATCGGGTGTCTCACTTTTGTGTTATTATCTACTCTTGATATATATATATATATATATATATATAATATATCAAATATATACGACTTCATGCTGTATATTGAGTGCAATGCAATAAACAAACGCAATGTGGCAACATCATTGTATATATAGCACTAATACGTATTAACACCATATATATACATCATGTAGATATATATATATATATATATATATATATATATAACAAAAAGAAAAATGTGCACTTGCGTTTTATAGCATAACAGTATACCATCGCGAAAATTGCTATAAAAATGTGCATAAATTGATAGGTGATTGGATAGAGAATTACTACTAACCCATCCCCCCCCCATCATGATTACTACAGTATACTGATCGTGTGTGTCATCCTTCCGTACAATCACACCCCGATCCTGTTTCACTCACGCCCGCGCATTCTCTCGCGCGCGTCCTTCCCTGACCATGACGCAATAAATTTTGATCAAGCTGCAGAGAGCGTGTTCATTAACGCTGTCTTCCCCCTTCTAATTGCGACGCCACGGGAGACACGCTCCAACAGCTTCGGCACCACGACGTAACACACCGAGTCCCCGCTTCCATTCATTTTCAGCTAATAACAGTATTTCACCAACGGATATGACATGATCAGCATGCTTAACTGCCTAAGGGAGCGCGACCAGGACGGGCGCATTTCACGGAGGGGTGGGCGGGTAGAGAAGATGGGGCGTACGTTTGCGCTACGTAATGAAATTTTCATATCGGATGCGAATCTCGGACGTTTAATTCTATTACCGCACTGCTAGTCGCACCCGGTCCGCTTTGTTGTACTTTGTCACTCTAATTCGTCCCCCCACCTCAGCATCCTGAAGGATCACACAAAAAACAGATGCCGTGCTCCGGTTATCAGTCCACTTCATCGCCCCTTGATGTCGCATCGCCGTACGTCGGGGCCCCCGGGCCACCAGAGCCCGAGTCATGGGATTTAGCAGCCTCATTAGCCTGTTAACGTGTCAGCAACCACGTCGATAATGTGTTTTAATCACTCGCGACAAAAGACGAAATTTCAGCGGCTGGATTTCAGCGGCAGGATTTCGGCAGGACCCGATTCGCGCTAAACCTCGCTCGGGCGTCTATAGTTTCTTATCGCCGCCGCTAGGGGGTTTGGCGGCGCTCACTTCGCGTCAAGTTTCTAGTTTCTTGTCGTCGCCGCTAGGGGTTTTGGTGGCGCTTACGTCACTCGACGGACGAGAGTGGACAGCAAACAGGGATCGGCGAAAGCTGTTACAGTTTACGATGCAGTACTTAATTGCTCGGGACATAGATTTGTGGGATGCTAAGTTGCTGTCCCCACACCCCACCGCACCCACAATATTGCTACTCCATCAGACACTATCCCCACCCCCACAGTATCCCTACCCCATCAGATCAGGCGTGTATAATATAGAGTCTATATTATACACTCATGATCAGAGACCACTCCCCC